GTAACAAAAAAATTAAATCTTAAAACAAAATCTTAGAGTTGATTTTAACGTTTTTCTCATGCTAAGTTGTTTTTCAGGTTTGGCTTTCAATACACTAAGAAACATACATATAAATTACTTATTCCATTGCTTATATGACATGTCCGTACGCAATCAGCTGTGTCGAGACATGTCGTCTAGAATTAAATTTCATTTTCCTTTTATTTATCGAAGAGAGACGCAAGAACATCTCCACATTTCCATTAGAATGAAAAACAATAGTTCAGAGCAGAGAATTAAAGTTAATAAAAATGTCAAAAAAAAATTACACCCGCTTATTACAGTACATTGATTAAAGTCTTTAAAAGGGCCCCACGCAGCAGTCAAAAGGAGATCCATCATCATCCAGCAAACAACGCGATCTAACCTGTCCTGCAAACACCTGAAAAAAGCAGGGGGAATCCTGCATATGCATGCATGCATCGCTATCTTCTTACTGTTCATGCAGCATCCATCCACTTGCTTGGAATAATCACATCATTACATACAGCTAGCTACCATTTTTTTTTTGTTTTTTAGTCTGCATATTTGTCCAGGATAATCCATTCATAATAGCATACCCCATGTAAAGCCACATTTGCATCCATGCATAGAAGCTTGTTTCGTGAAGAAAAAATGCATTTGTTTGTACCACAGGGAAAATTGAATCAAAGAAAAATTTTCAAGAGATCAAACCTAGCATCTTGCTTTTTTTTTTCTTAATATGGAATTGACCATAGTAATGTAGGGGCTAGCTGTATGGTTGAGTACTTCAATTTACCCAAGCTTGCTATAATTTTTTTTTGACTAACTAGCCTAAGGTTTGGTTAACAAAATTAGAGCGACACTTTAGCTAGCATGACTATACGTACTTGCCACACTTGTTTTTATCTCAATGGCATATGGGGTCTACATAGTGAAGAAGAAATTTGGTCATAAGTGTGGCTATGAACCAAATAGGCATCTAGCTCGGTTAAACTTATGTAACTTGAGGTGTGGTAACCTTATACAAGTTATGTGTCAAACCAACAGCCCCTACTCATATAAATTTTTTTTCCATATGAACCAATGGGGCCTCTGGGAAAAATACTAAGCAAATTGAATGCTCCAAAAAATATTTGCCATTCTTGCATTTCAAAATGAACCATTAAACTAAACTTTAAATGGAAGTTCATCTAGCATCCTAGAAAGAATTATAGGAACAACTGAACGAACAAGCATTGCATGAATATTTTGAAATGTGGAAATTTTATAGAATTATCACAAGATTCAGTTCAGTTCCTTTAAAAATCTTCAAAACTCCTCCGTTTCAAACCAAGGCCATAGATCCACATCTTAAAAGGAACATTCACATCTTAAAAGGAACTTTGAATGGGTAGATCTTCTACGCATGATGCTCGGGAGCTGTCTTATCCCTTGTATGTCAAGTTTTAAAACCGGCCTTAGCTATATATATTTTTAAAGATAATGAAAATACTCCCACCGTTTCATAATATAGCAACTTACTTAATTAGGACTGGATGAAATATTTTATAGTCTTATTCAGATTCATTGTACTATTAAATATTTCATTTGGTTCGGTTATTATATTATAAAACGAATGAAAATAATTTACTTCCTCTGTTTCATATTATAAGATTTTCTAGTATTGTTTACATTCATATATATGTTGCCTAGATTTATTAACATATACTCTTTCCATCCCTAAATGTTTGACGCCATTGACTTTTTTAAACATGTTTGACCGTTCGTCTTATTCAAAAAATTACTTTTATGTATACATATAGTTTTACATATTTCACAAAAGTTTTTGAATAAGACGAACGATCAAACATGTTTAAAAAAGTCAACGACGCTAAACATTTAGGGAATAAGGGAGTATATGAATGTGGGTAGTGCTAGATCTTATAACCTGAAACGGTGGAAGTAGTACAGCTCTATCGGTCTATTTGCCCGGAAGCATCATGATTCGATCGTTGATTGACATGATGTTAATAAAACGGAAGATCGAGGTTGGTTCGATCGATGCCTCGATGGGATGAGCAGGCAGGTCCCAGCGGCCACGTGCTCGCACGCACGTCATGGTACTAACTGTACGCTAATTTGGTATCCAAATCATCAACAGCGTCATGGACCAGTGATGCAGGCAGCTTCATGGCTGCAGCCTGCAGGCAGATCATCACCACTGATCTATCCAACCGAGTGGGCCTAAGGCTGTGTTTAGATCTAAAGTTTGGATCCAAACTTCAGTCTTTTTCCATCACATCAACCTGTTATACACACACAACTTTTCAGTCATATCATCTCCAATTACAATCAAAATCCAAACTTTGCGCTGAACTAAACACAGCCTAAATAAATCTCTTGATCCATCCGCATGAAGATTTTTCTAGATAATAAAACAAGAAAAAGACTATGCGCACTAACTTTTTCTTACTGAATTCTTAACTGATGTCGTAATAAAATCCGCCTTTTTCTTTCAAGAACTTACATGACCGATGTTTGAAACTAATTAAGATAAAAGATTAAGTAAGTGTACGAAAAAATAAGAAAGATATTAGCGTATGATTAATTAAGTTTTAATTATTACAAATTTAAAAAATATATTTATTTAATATTTTAGAGCGACTTCTATATACAAAGTTTCTACACAATATGTATTATTTAGCAGTTTCAAGAACGTGTTAATGAAAATCGAGGTAGAAATCTACATCTATTTCTATTGGTTAACAAATAGAAATATAAATCCAGGAATCGAGGATGCAAAGACTAATAACTCCAACACTTTCAAATTTTTTCTATTATTTATCTTAAGTCTATTTGTAAATCTAAATCCCATATCGGCATATATCCGTATATATGTTAATGAACCCATCACCAATATATATAAGCATGATCTCATGGGCGCGGTGCCGATGCATGCATATTCCACAATTCGATCATGGTTCCATGCAGCATATATATCATTGATGCCATTTCATTATTGAGTGGATCCATCGTCGATCCATCCATGATACATACGATGATGAGAAGTTATTAGCAGTTAATTCTCATCATCTCGTGATGCCGGTGCATGGCCAGCCAACGCATAATGCAAATCCCCATCCATCGATCCATCCATCAATTGTGTCCAGCCAGCTGGGTCGTCTCTCAATCACCGGACAACTGCTCATGGGATCATCTTATGGCTGGAAAACAATAAGATCCCCCAACAAAAACCAAACAAAAAAGAGGAAGAAAAACTAATGGCTCCGGTGAGTCGGCAATGCACATCGATCTCGTCCAGTCTCACGAGACAATGTTCGATCAGGTGTGAGAATGACGAGCCAGCGACAGACAGATCAAACTAGGGATACATAGTTCCCGGAGTAGTAGCCTGCCATTCTATCCCGAATTTGATCGGTGAGCATGGATGCAAGTTTGATCGAGACAGTGTGAAGTTAAGAATCTAAGTTAATTACAGAAGGAAAGAAATGACCAGTCGGCAAATGATTTTTGCAACTTGAATAAGTAAAATTTGACCTTATATTCTTGCGAAGGTGATATATTTCATATTAATCTATCTTATTATTTTATCAAAAAAATTTAATAACTATTTAAATTTCATGTATGAAACGAGAGATGCTTTCTCGAGCAACAAAATAATTAATCTCTCCCACATATATGTATCAATGGGGCATCGACTACCGACATGAACCGGTGCTTTAATTTTTTTTAATTCCTGCTTGCAGTGCACTTTTGCATGCGCCGGGATGCACTGTTTGGATTGGTTATTTCAGATTAGGCGTAGAGACACGAGGGAACTAGCTGGTTTGATGGCAACAGCACAGAGAAGAGGGGAGGAGATGGATGGCATATGCATGAAAACTGCTACCAAAATATATTATGGCCAATAATCCACAAGATCGAAGCTAGCTAGCTTCCATGTGGGATCAGGACATGCATCCAAAGTTCAGGTAAAAAAATACGGAATTGCCATATTTCGTTCAACGGCAGAAATTCTTGGAAAAAATCTATCAGATTGATCACAGACCTAGCGAAAAGTGAAGTTTACGCCATCAGGTGTAAAAATCACGATGGCGTAAACAAAAAAACCTTCCCCTGCCCTTATCTTAACCTTCCTTTACCCACTAGAAAACTTCGAAAGGTGGCCACGGCCATTGCAGCCATGGAAGCGGTGATCCACGGGCGGCAGCCTTGGGAAGGGCTTCTACACGGACACGGTGGCAGCATGCGGGCTCGAGAACAGCGGATCCACCGTCGGCAGGATCGGGAGCACCAAATCCGTCCTCGTGCGTGGTAGAGAGGAGGCGGAAGGAGCCACGGCGACCACGACCACGACAGTGGCGTGCATGTTCTAGAGCATTGGATCCGCCGCCAGCGTGCTCGGGAAGGGCGGATCTGCCACCGGCAGGCTCGGGAGCGACAGATCCACCCTCACGCATGATGGAGAGGAGGCATATGGCTGTAGTGGCGACGCCTGACGACGGCGACCTAGGGTTTTGGATTTCTTTTATTATTATTATTATTATTTCAAAGTATCATTGCAGTCGGGCATCCTTATTTGGTTGCCTGCAAAAATCGGGTCTTTAAAAGTGGTCTCCTTAGGACGCTCATCTGCAAAAATGGTTTCTCACATGCGGTTGTGATGACCACATGTGAAAATGCTGATTTTTGCATGTGACCGCCGCCGGGCCACCGCCCGTCCCTGCGTCACCGTGCACGCCTTGCAACTAAGGGCGTGTTTGGTTGCCTGGACCGCACTTGGCCCGCATCTGGCGTGCAACCTGCAGGTTGTTTGGTTGCTTGGACGGGGGACTCAGCCAGGCCCAGCAGATGCAAAAAGGCCCGTCGAGCCAGGCTGGGGGAAACGACCAATTCGAGCTTCGCTGGGCGGCCTGGCTCGTGGCGTGCAGCGACAAGGCACGAGGCTGCACCCGCGCATGCAGACAGAAAGAGATGGGGTCACCGCGCGCTGCCTTGACTCCTCAAGAGCTTCTCCCTCTTCCTCATTTTTTCACAGTGAAAAAAAAGCTAGGGTTTTGGGCTACTCGTCGTGAACCTCACCGCGCCCATCCTCCGTCGCCAGGCGGATGTGAGCGCCGGCTCCCTCCGTCGCCGGGGGTGAGCGCCGGCTCCCTCCTTCGCCGGCTGCTCCTCTCCCCCCGTCGCCGGCTGCTCGTCTTCCCTTCTTCTCCTTTTAGCCCCCTTCTTCCTTACGCCCTCTCCTCTTCAGCTCTCTGCGTCGAGATCTTAGGTAAGTGCAAGGATGGTATTCCTCTTCCCTTTCCAACCTCCTTCAATTTCGTCTCCACTCTTTCTTTGATTTCTTTGTTTGGATGGATGCACATCTGCACATGTCCCCTTCATAAAAAAGTAGATCTACTAAAATGTGATGTATTTTAGGTTGATTTGGGTGCAAGGAAATGTTGCATAGGCCTGGATTTTGTTATATATGTTTGCAATGTTATGTACTGTTGGTATATTTTCTAGATGTAGCTGAGCATGACTAAAAATGTTTTTCTTTGTCGATCTACTCATCAATCATATTTGTACACATGAATATTTGTTAAATCGATTGTCTCTTAGCTCAGATCTGCACTGGTTGTTTGTGATTTGCTCATTCAAGTTAGATCTATGACCTTGTTAGTTGTGCATATTACTATGCCTTTTTGTTATGTCCGAGCAATTTTCCTTGGTCGATGATGTGTTTGTCACTGGAGGTAGCATCCCTTGGATGTGGCAGCCGTGGCATGGGTCCATAAAAATTGGATTTGCAATACTTAACAGTGTCAACACCATCATATAAATATGTATTGACAATGTACTACATATGTTATTTACATAGATGGAAGAAATGTGACGTATTCGGCGGGCCCTAATTGCTAAAGCAGCTGGTTTAGTTTCCGTGATGTGTGCTTATGTTCTTTTCATTGTGCGAAGAGCTAGAAGAAACACCCCTAGGATCTCCTATGGACCAATGTCTGAAAGAGACATAGCTAGACAATCGAACCTTAGATTCATCTATCACACAGATGATACTAATTGCTTGAATCAGCTTCGAATGAGGAGGGCCCCCTTTTTTCAACTATGTAACTTGTTGCGAGAAAGAGAACTTTTGCGGGACATCATCCATAGCTCAGTGGAAGAACAAGTTGCCATGTTCCTCCTTGTTGTAGGCCACAACCATAGATTTAGAGCTTTGCAACCCACCTTTAGGAGGTCAATTGAAACTATTAGTAGATACTTTAGAGAGGTATTGTATGTTGTTGGTGAGCTACGACACGAGATGATCACAACACCTTCATCCCACACTCATTTGAAAATTACATCAAATACAAGATTCAACCCTTATTTTAAGGTAAGAACCTAATGTTTTTGTATTTCAACTACTGAATAAAATATATGTTTTTCATAAGCTTGTGCTAATATATCTAATTGATCATTAGGATTGCATTGGTGCAATAGATGGAACTCATGTCGATGCTTGAGTTCCATATGCAATATCTGCTGCATTTAGGGGTAGGAAGGGTGTCACTACACAGAATATGATGGCTGCGGTGGACTTTGATCTTAGATTTACGTATGTACTTGCTGGGTGGGAAGGATCTGCGCACGACGCCCTCATACTTGCAGATGCCCTAGAAAGGGATGATGGTCTTAGTGTCCCCCCAGGTAATAGAAGTGTCCAAATTTAGATGATTAAGGTTTTTTTGGAAAGGTTAGATAATGATTACACTCAAATTATTTTTATCTCATAGGCAAATTCTATCTTGTTGATGCTGGATATGCTGCTAGGCCAGGGTTCCTTCCACCATACCGTGGGTGTTGATACCACTTGAGGGAGTATGGTAGAAGAAACTACCCTCGTGACAGGAGAGAGTTGTTTAACTTAAGACACTCCTCTCTTAGAGTCACAATCGAGCGGGCATTTGGTGCTCTCAAGAACCGCTTCAAGATACTGTACAACAAGCCTTTCCATCCATACAAGACCCAAGTCAAGTTAGTTCTAGCGTGTTGCATACTTCACAACTGGATACTTCGGTTTGGGCATGATGGCCATGTTCCACTAGAGGATGATTTGAGTGAATCGTCTGATGATGAAGAGGATCCCGATGAATTAGAGGAAGATAATAGGGGAATGACTCAACTTAGAGATGATTTGGCTATGGCTATGTGGAATAATAGAGGGACGTCTAGGGTCTGAATTTTTCTAGGGATATGTTTGTAACTCTCTATGTATGAACTTATGATGGTGTTGCACTGTCTTCTATCCATGCATGAATGTGTTGAACTGATAGTGCTTTATTTCAGACCTATGAAAATTTGCAATGATGACTGAAATCAGATCTGTCATGGTTTATTTTATTTGTTAAATTCATTTGTTCACTTGCATATTCTTTCATATAGGATGGCTGAGGCTGGTGGTGGGAATGGTGCCCAAGGTGGACACCAGGGAGCTTTGCGTTGGACAACCAACATGTCTAGCTTTATGCTTAGGCGTATGGTTGAGCTTATAGCGCAAGGTGTTAAGACTGACAAGGGTTTCAAGGAAGTCCACCTTAACCAAGTTGCTAGAACTGTCTCTGACCGCTATGGGTTTGAGATTAGTGGGACCCAAGTGTACAACCATCTTCGCAAATGGCGCACAAGGTGGGTGCGTATTACTAGGCTCAAAGACATCAGTGGGGCTCTTTGGGATGATACACTGTCAATGATTGTCCTAGATGAGGAGCACTACATGCTTTATATCAAGGTTTGTGTCTAACTAGCACTTGTTCAATTCGTGGCATTAGTACAATTCAATTCTCTCTTTAACTGTAATGATTCTGATAATATAGGACCATGCTAAGGATGCTGAGTATCTGAATGTCCCTTTAGAGAACTATACACAGATGCAAATTATCTTTGGCAATGGGCAAGCCACAGGAAGATTTGCCATGGGCTCAAATGAAGCCCTTGGCAACCCTCCAGACATGGCTGACAGTGCTCTTGGACCTCTTGATGGGATTATTGGGGATGTGATTGCTGCTGGACCAAGTGGTGTTGGTGTTGAAGGTGGTGGGACTGCTGCTCGAGCTAGTGGAGTTGGGCCTACTAGTGATGAGCCGACTGGAGGATCTAATCCAGATAAGAAGAGGAAGAGAACCCCGGCTTTGGCTGAAGGTGAAGTTGCTCTCATCACCAACATGACTGATTCTGTGAACAATGTGGCTTCAACAATACTCGCTACAACACATACGGAGGTGCAGCCTGATTTGGAGAACTCAGTGATGGACCTCCACTACCACCTTAACCACCACATAGCCAAATATACATAATTTGATGTCCCACTACCACCTTAACCATCACATAGCCGAATGTAAATAATTTGGTGTCACACTACCACCTTAAGCAGTGAGTACTATCCTACCAAAAGAACAAATGGTGTCCACTACCACCTTAATCATCATTACATACAAAATATGGTGTCCATTGTCACCTCTCCTGAATAGTTAGCTAAATAGTTAGATGCTGTCAGGGTGGTGCTGTTCTAGGAACTTCTTAACCCAACGAGCACGGCGAGCCTCATTCTTCTGAATGTACACAAGGCTTGCTGCCTTGTCATTAGTCAGATGAGTTAGAACAAGGTCCAATTGATCCTCACTGAAACCAGGAGGATCCATCACCATATTATTGTTGCATGATCTATGCTTCATGATAAATTTCATCCTTCTGCACTTGTTTTATCCTTGTTCCTCCACTGGGACTTACAGATACAAACTTGGTCTAGCTATTTGCACTTGCCATTTTTCTTGCTGTGAAGGGTGCAACTGATTTAGAACAAATGTGATGATTTGTGATGCGTACAAATGGATTGTGAATTCTGATATTAAGTGCGCTTTGTGATCCATGTTAACAGATTTTTGTTTGGCACTTGACTGCTCTTTGTGATCAATGTTAACAGATCCATGTAACTTGTTAACATGCCTGGGCATGATTTTTTGGTCTGCACTTGTTCTTTTTTTTCCCTTGATGTTAGAGATTGGGAAAGATGGTCACTTTGATTTTGTTTTTTAATCTGGATGACTAAATTTATGGTTTATGTTCCATAGCTAGATGGTTACCACTTTTTTCAGAATATTCGCAGATATACATGCTAATGATATCGACGACGGCTGTACAGAGGTAGAGAACACAGATGGATCAATTTGTTTTAATACTTGTATATATGTAGCTGAGGTTACCGGCATGCATGATTTTCACATTGATTCCTTCTTGTTAAAAAATATGCATGATTTTCACATTGATTCCTTCTTGTTAAAAAATTACATGATTACTGACAGCTAGTTGTTTAAAATTGTCAAATATATGAAATTAACGAGATTTTCGAAAACTTGGCTTAAATAGTAACACCATGGTCACCCACAAGAGTCAGACTTAGAAAATTTTTGTTAGTGTGCTTCGTGGGGGTAACTTTACCATATGTAAGAAGAGGTCACCCAGACCTAAGGTCCAATCAACAAACCAAACACCATCTCTATTGTACAACATCCTGTCATACAACCAACCAAACAGCATCTCATATCATCCAGGATAAACCCATGCGGACAACCAAACATAGCCAATTGCATTATCCTATCCAGGCTGAGGGCACCTTGGATGAGGGATACGAGCCAGGCTAGGGACATACGAGCAACCAAACACACCCTAAGAGATAGAGAGAAAGAGAGAGGAAGAGGGGAAGATGAGGTATGATAGGTGGGTCTCATCATTGTTTTTTTTTAAAAAAAGTGCTGACTGGATTTCACGCGTATGCCACTTAGGATAAACCAGGGTAATTTGTCATGCATTATAAGTTCAAGGTGAACAATGTTTGGTTTTCGGGTTAGGGGGTAATTTGATCGACCACAATAGCTCAGGGGTAATTTGATCGACCCCAATAGCTCAGGGGTAATTTATAATTTTTCTTAGATAAATTAGAAAGAAATAATGGTTTATTGAATTGCAATCCAAATCTACAATTTCAAGAACATTCGACAATCCAAATTAACAATAGTTTATCGAATTGCAATCCACATCTTGCTAACACCACAATCCAATTTCACCGTCTCTCAAGGGGTAATAATCTAAAGCGTGGCGTACTCGCGTCGATACCCTGCGAACTCTCGTGATTCGCCCTCTTTTTCGCTGACGATGAATCGGAGATCCATCCCTCAACCATGTGGTTGATGTGATCGTGCATCCTCTGATTTCCACCGTCGATGCGCATCTCTTCGAGGTGAATCGCGTTCTCGGCGAAGAACTTGATCAGCTTGACGCCAATGCAGTTGGGTCGATCCATCCGAAACTGGATTACGAATCTTCTCAGCGAGTTCTTCAAGCAGGCGAAGGATCGGCCACTCAATCCTACGATGCTCAGGTGTTCGTCCATGGAGTTCACCGGCGTCGGCGGCGGCGGCGGCGGCGGAGGATTGGGTTTGCGTCGGCGGCGGCGAGCGAAGCGATCGAGAGACTCGGCGAGGTCGGCTTGCTGTCTCGCTCGCAGGAGATCGCGGCCGTACCTGCCGTTCATGGCGGAGTCGCGCTCGCGCGGCGGCGCCGTGGCGAGGTGGAGCGCGAGGTGGCGCGCGGCGGGGCAGCACCGGAGCAGGTTGCCGATGGCCACCGCGGCGGCCGTCTCGCTCGCGGATTCGTGGTGCCCTTCCAGCTCGAGGTGCTCGACGTTGGGGAACGCGACGAGGAGCTCGGCGCGCGTCGCCCTGCCGGCGACGGCGACGTGCTTGAGGTCGCTCACCTTGAGCTTGAGGGACCTGATGCCGCGGAAGCTGCGGACGAAGCGCCAGAAGAGGTCGCGGCTCGTGGAGGCGGAGGCGTACATGTCGTGGAAGAAGTGGAGGTCGGCACGCGCCATGTCCGGCGGCGAGGCGAGGGAGAAGCGCCGCGCGTAGCCCGCGTACCTGAACGATCGGAGCCCCGGCGCGTCGATCTCGACGGAGCTGGTCCCCAGTGGGCGGCCGCTTCTCCGGTAGCGGTAGGGCTCCGCGTCCGTCCTGCACCTCGCCAGCACGAGCGCGGTGGTGGCCGCCGGGAGGCGGAGGCGGTAGCAGCCGTGCTCCATCCCGTCGAAGGAGACGGAGTCGAGGTGCACGGTGGCGAGCGCCGGCGCGGCGTCGATGACGCGCTGCAGGTCGTTCACGTTCACGGCGCAGGCCTGCAGCCGCAGCGTCGTCAGCCGCGGGGTTTCCACGGCGGGCGGCATGCGCAGGCCGCTGCACCGGGAGAGGTCCAGCACGCGGAGGGTCTCCGACGGGACGTAGCGGAGGTCCAGGTGGAACACCCCGACGAGACGCCCGACCTCGCCGTCGTCGTCGTCGTCGTCGACGGCCGGCGCGCTGGCGCTGATGCGGAGCTCCTCCACGCGGCGCGCCGCCGGGTGGGAGACCACGTCGCGGACCACGTCTCCCCTCTTCACCCATCTGTCCGCCTCTCGCTCGACGTCGTCGCTGAGCCGCAGCCACACGTCCGTGTCGGGCGCCGCGTCCGCACCAAGCGGCCTCTCCGTGTGCACGAACCTGTCGATCACATCCATGGTCGCCGCCCGAAGGTCCAAGGTGAGCCTCGTGACGTGGCGGCCTCGGCCTCCGGCTGCGGCGGCGGCGGCGGAGAGCGCCGCCTGCGCGGAGCGGACGAAGGCGTCATGGCAGGAGGAGACGGCGTCGTGGCTGACGCGGTGGCCGTGGCGGCGCCCGTCGTCGGGCTCGGGGAGGCGCACGGCGAGGTTGACGGCGCCGGTGGAGCGCCAGAGCGAGCGCCACCGCGCTGAGAGCAGGGCGGTGGACGCGGCCTCGTTGGCCGGCGCGAAGCGGAGGATGCGCTGGATGAGGTCGTCGGGGAGCGCCGATATGCGGTCGACGCCGCCGTGATCCGATCTCGCGAAGGCGAAGGCGGTGGAAATTTATCCGTGGCGCAACGCGAGGGATATGCATTGCAGGTGGTGCGAGTCAAAGTCGGTGTTGATGGCGAAACAAACTAGGCTGTGATGGGCCGAAAGCCCGGTTCGTCTGCAGGGCCACAACAATACGAGAATCCTCTCGTAGGAATCCGTGTTAAAGGTTTGACTATCCATCTTATTTGAAAAATTTATAAAAATATTAAAAAAAGTTAGTCACACATAAAGTACTATTTATGTTTTATCATCTACTAACAACAAAAATGTTAATCATAGAAAAATTTCAAATAAGACGAGCGGTCAAACGTTGGACGTGAATAGTGTAAAACTGTACTTATTTTGGGACGGGGGGAGTATCAATTTAAATAATTTTTCTCCTAAACTACTTATCCGATTTACGATCCGATCAGATAATTTTTTCTCCTAAACTACTTATCCGATTTACGATCCGATCGTACTTGCTCCTACTCTCTCTTCTCTCATGCATGGATTTAATAACCTTTAAAATAATTTTTCTCCTAAACTATTTATCTAATCGTACGTTGTATTCGTTATAATTAAATCTTCACAACAAAATATCGCATGATTATGTTCTGATGAAAAGAAATATATATTTTAGCCCGTTAATACTCAATGTATCATACGTGATAGCAACATGTTTCAATGTGCCTTCACTATGTTTCATAAATTTAAAGGTCATTGGTGAGTGATTAATAAATTATTAACCATTGCAAACTTGAAAAATATATTTATTTTCTTTTCTAAAAAAACTTCTACATATAAATTTTTTGTGCGAAATATTACGCCTAGTAGATTGAGAAAACTACGGAAAATATAGAAGCTGATTCAAACTCACTCAGCCAAAGATGGGTAAATTATTGCACTTAGTAAACTTAGTTTGACACAAAGCAAATCATAAGCCAACTAGGCACCACTAGGACATCACAATGCTGATAGCTGGACATGAACCAGTGGGTAGGGCGCAGGCGAAAGAAAATGAATCGTACTTGTAAATTTAACAACAGAAAGGAAATGAAGAAATGTGCCATAATCCACAACTGGTATGTTAACTCGAGCTAACTTAGAAGGCTCGAAAAAGTTATTCATCAAAGGATAAAGCTCTAAGCAACTTAAACTAATCACATTGTTGCCCAATGGCAGATTAACTATATGAGCATCCTAACAGCGATGGCTACAAAAATGTACCAGCCGATCGAGAGCATCTTCCTCTAGTTATTGGCCTGGGAAAAAAATATTAAAATGTGGCTGAACGTTTCGAGTTTATCCTCAGTTATTAACATCCAAGATGATAATTGTTAGAAGAATTAACAGCAGCGGTGTAGGCGTGTGTAGCTTCAAGCAGCAGCCTTCTTGCAGTGGTTTTCCAGCCACTCCATGGTGACACTCTTCGGTCTTTCGAGCGGCAGACCAAGAGCACGGTCCCAAATGAGCTGTCATACATAATGTATCACAAGTCAGAATTGGTTGATACAAGATCTGAAGAAAGAGGTAGACAGTTGAAGGGAAGAAATATACCTGGGATCCTATGCCTATGCTCCTCGAAACTCCGAAAAGGACGGTGTAATACCTGCGTAATTAGATGGCCGCTTTTATTAAGTACTCGTTCTGAAGTACATTTACTATTCCATCATGGGTTCAAGATTAAATTTGGTTACTAAATTATTTAACCAGGACAGGTAAACATACCGAGCTTCAGATAATCCAAAGTGGTTCAGCAGAACTCCACTGTGAGCATCAACATTAGGCCATGGGTTTTTGACCTGGAAATATGGACAATGTTGTCACTTTTTAGCCAATAAGATGGACATAAAACGGTAGCAATCATGATCAATCTAGTGGCATTACCTTGCCAAGCTCAGTGAGGATTGGAGGCACAACTTCATACAACTTGGAGACCTGACAGGATATAGATCGATAAGAATCCCAATGAGATAGTTGGACTGCAAGAGAGCCATGCAGTTGGACAGACATTTTAGACTAACCAGTTGGAAAAGTGGATCCTCAGGCAAGTACTTCAAAGCAAACTCCCTCTGACATGTATATCGTGGATCGGTCTTACGTAGAACTCCATGACCGAAGCCAGGAACAACCTACAAATGAATGCGCTGTGACCTTAGTAATTCTAAATTCTCAATTCATGTTCAACAAAAAATAAGGTAAAACTGTATGCAGATCATTAGAGATCCAATATAACACAAAATGCTTAGCAATTAACTCTTAGAAAGCTGAGTTTTCATTTCAAACTTCCCGAGAAAATAAATTTGCAGTTAAAACACGATCATATATGCACTTCCTCATCAAATAGATATAACAGTGAGATAAGCTACCTTTCCACTTTTTAGTGTCTTCCACACATACTCTTTGAGTTGATCAGTTGTAACATCACTACCTGTCTCACCTATTACAGATTTGATCCACAACAGCACTTCCTGCATTACATGTTGACTATGGTCAGTTCACACAAACTAAAAATCGATTTAAAAATGATCTGCAGCATATGTTGAATAGCGCAATGAGTCCTTTTTAGCAGGATGCGGCAAACAAGATCCAGTGCAACAAACTGAGCATATACCTGATTAGCCAGGCCGTGCAATGGTCCAGCTAAACCATTCAGTGCAGCTGCAAAAGAAAGATAAGGATCTGACAGAGCACTTCCAACCTGTAATTGAATATCACAAGTATGGGATGAAGAGGTTAGTGCCCAGAGATGAGTCATGAGAGATAGGCAATGGCCAACAAAAGTAAAAAAAAAGTATATCATAAGTTATAAACATACGGACTTGAAAGCTAAGAGATTGCAAGGTTTTCTGTGGCAAATTATGATGCTACCTTATACTATCACCACAACCACTTCTACCTTGGATATAGAAATTCAGCTCTCAGGATCACCCCAAACAACCAGGATTTTTCTAGCCATACAATAGCTCGTCCAGCAGAAATAGATCGATAGTCTCAATTTCATAGTTTTGATGCTATTAGACAATAAAATGTACTCACTACGCATTTCTAAGGACTAAAGACTCCATGGGCAGTCAATGGGTCTAGGTCCTTCAGGATAACAGTTCAACTAATGAAAATCTCAGCTGTTAGTTATGTTCCTAGTTATTTCTTAAAGATATCATCCCTAATTGCTAGTTTGGTTTATTATTACCGCTTTGTTTTATCAGCGCATACTAATCGCAGTGAAGCAAATCAAAGGCTTGAAGTGGAATCCAATGCAATAATGCATGCCAAAACTGCAATACATAAAAAGGCACAAGGATGATGCAGCAGCCAGCAGTGATCCGGTGGCAGGTTAAAACAATGTTAGCAACACTAACAAGAAAAATCAACATTGAAAACAAAGAAACAATAATTACCAGATGTCCAGTATGAGCACTGACATTTCCACCTTCATGATCACTGGAAGAACCCAGGTGAAGGTATGAGGGAAAATAAATCAAACCAAGTCTTTAAGAAACAAATATATAAGTCAAAACAAGGATGGAATACATTACGTGTGGATTGTCACATATAGTCGCATCAACTCGAGCATTTTGGGATCATCAAACCCAAGCATGTGTGAAAAGTTTGCTGCATAGTCCAGTGCATTATCAGCTGCTATAGTTTTCCCATCCTTGAAGATCCTTCAGTGAACCAGAAAATAGGGTTACTATTGCAGTTACAAAATTTACAGGATTGCCTGGAAAGTAAAGATGTTGGATGCATTGGTAAAAAAAGCTACCTCCGGTAAACATACGAAGCCACTGGTGGAAGGCGAGCTATCAAATTTAAGCAATCTTCATAGGTAGGCTCCCAGAACCTATTAAAATAGCAACAGAGCAGTCAATAACATGGACAAATCTATTGAACAATTAATGCAACTCTTGAGGCAGTATAAATCCCAAGCATACTTTGATTTTGGCATTCCTTTGTCGTAAGCTTTTTGAAACTCACTCTCAACCTGAAAATAAGAGTTAAAATAGAAGAGCTAAATAAGAATTACAAAAGGCAGAGAAATACAAGGCTTTTATTAACGATTTTTTAAATGGTTTTGGTTAATTTATTTTGGCATACATCACCTGAGAATTAAATATGCTTTCAAATAAATGGCAACAGAGTATGTTTTTATTTCAGGGGAGTGATATGCTACAAATTAAAAACAAGAAAAGAAGAAGTGTTTACTTGAAGTGCCATCACCCCTGTGGTAAACTGTGTCATTGGATGAGCAGTTACAGGGAGAGCATCAATTGCCTTATACACATGGCCTGCATCCATATCATATGTCAATCAAATGGGAGCCCAGTAGCCAAGTGGTGAACATACTATCAGTTTATAGAAGTCCAAATTTATATGCAGTACTCCCTACCACTAAAGATTAAATGCACAATAAACTCAAAATCAACTTATGAAAAATGAATACATAAATAAGCTATATCATTATGACAATATCAAAGGAATGGTGTTTATAGATGTCCAAATTTATATGCAGTACTCCCTACCACTAAGGATTGAATGCACAATGAACTCAAATCAACTTATCAAAGATGAATACATAAATAAGCTATATCATTATGACAATATCAAAGGAAAGGTTAAAAAAATTCAAGTTACTCTATCTATCAGCAGAGGGCATGAAGAGTCAAAATAGAGAAAATAAATGGAACTGGCCCAAAAATACTTTCTACAGTTGCCTTTAAAATTTTAACTACACGTAAGAAGTTCTTAAGTTAACAACAATAATCTTAAGGAAATTGAAAAGGTTAACCTTAAAGCTAACAGATTACTATAAGAAATTCAGAATGAAGTAGCTTCAATTGTTTTCAAACTAATTTATAAGAAACTTGGTGTGTTTATGTGTACTTTCAGAATAAAACTTCATAGGAACAAAACCTCCATAATCTCTGTATTTATCTGTCTATATTTGAACTTTTAAGAAACAGAAAATATGATAATGATGTGAAACTCATCTAAGCAATAATGTAATAAACCAACAGAGACAATAGCAGACCTGGAACACTCGAACGGGTAACCAATTCCTTTGATAGAGCATCGACTTGCTCTTTGGTTGGCACCTGAAACAAACAAATACGCATCAGTCCACACTAATAGCTAAATGCTGACAAAAATAAGAATAGGAAAATCGAGATTACAAGTATAACAGGTAAACAAAGAAGCTCCTACTGAATCAACAAGCCCTGTTTCTGGAAGGAACTTTATTGGCAGATCATCAAACTATTTCAACAAGGATTCTATAAGAAAGGCAAAAGCCAAACCTTTCCAGTCAAAAGAAGCCAAAGGAGACCCTCCGGCAAAGGTTCTCCACCTTTAATTGCTGTTGGCAGCACTTTCTGGCACTCTGGAATCGAGAGACCCCTGAAACGAATACCCTGGATAGAAAAGAGAGAGATTTACATCCAACAGCAAAACATGGAGTGATACACGTTTAAATTTCACAAATTCCAACTAAGTTACAACTCTAACTCAAAATATGAAGCAAAACCGCCACCTCTAAACGATAAATCATAAAAGCATCACACTCTTTCAATGAAGCACATTACTATATAGTGACTTCAGAAATGAGAAATCTAGACTATTTTGTCCGTGTACCTCCTTTAAATCAATGTGCTAAAGTTGATTGTGGAACTTGATTCACATTGACAAATATGAATAATAATTACATCGTTGTTACTGTGAATTGAACAGATCATGCTCAACTGTTAGTACAGAAACTTGTTTGGAGATCATGAAAATATGGTGATTCATTTGTTTAATTTTTCATCTATTGCACATTACAAGATATATATAGACAAAATAAGCACTTCTGCTTTTATATTATGGTATCATAGAACCATACATAGTTACAAGTATACCTCCTCCGGGTCAAGCAATGATGTTTCCCAAAGCATTCCAATCATTCCTCTCATCCCGCCAAGGACCTGGAGAAACACAATTCAAGACTTTAGCCCAATCAATTAAGGACACCCTTAAAAAGCAATAGCAATAGATTTATCCATAAATAATCGATAGCAGAATCATACCATATCAACAGTTATGTTTCCAAGCTGGACCTTCCCATGTTCTGATTTAAGTTTCTTTAAGCGATCCTGTACCAGAATGGTAAAGTGAGTTGTGCTTTTCTATCCTGATCTTTGACAGGAAATCAGCTCATATATAGAGTTTAGGTAAAAGTGAACTGGTGAGCTAGCTGCAAGTAGGTCCTTCTCTGATACAGATTCTGAATGTTGTTATTAGTGCTTGATGCAAAACTAAACTTGTGAAGAAAACAATAACCTGATAGGTCAATCTTGTAGTGCATTTTCAATAGCCCAGAGAACCAAGCTAGTGATGGGGGATTTCTTAAGGTGCTGAAACAATGCGTTCAATACAGTGTTCATCTAACATTTGCTTCTATGCCCCAGCACAGCTTTTACACAAGAGAGAGAGAGAGAGAGAGAGAGAGAAGAAGAAGAAGAAGAAGAGAGGTAATCCGCAACATTTGGATGTTGGATGTAAGCATGCCCTCACACAGTAACAGCAACTTGCATGAAGCAAGAAGATGGCAACATTATAGGCTAAAGCAAAAAAAGTAAAGATAAGGAATTGGATGCCAGAAACATTTCAACTTTGTCGAATTATTAGATGTGCTAGCGAGTAACAAAACATACCTGTTGCTCGGGAATCAATTCCTGCAGCTGGGACTTAAGATCCTGAAAGCATAATATTTAGGAACACAAATCAAACATCTTTTTCAGAGCACATTTCCAACTTAATTTCAATCGTAGCCAGCCACAGAAGGTAGAGAGGGTAACTATCAATTTCAACCATGCAAATATTTATAGCACGAACAAACAAACAAAGAAACAAACAAACTATTATTGTCTTACAAGATCAGATGGACTCTGCATCTGCAGCCATCTCACACCACCAAGCGTGGTGGCCTCCTGTGCCTGGCAGCAACACGAGCAAACGGAATTTCAGCGCCACACCACAAATGCACAAAAAAATTGACATGGACGATCGATGATGGATCACCACTACTCACCATGCGGGATCGAATCCTCGAAACCGCGGTCAGGCCCCGGAAGAACGCCATCGCCGCCTGCAGGGGTGGACCTAACAGTTGAATTGAACCAACCCCCAGATATTATACTCCCCAGATTGAACCTAGCTTCCATTCCAGATCGAGTGGAGGATAAGACAAGGTTAAGGCGAGTTCGAGGGCGCGCTCACCGGAGGCGGAAGGGAAGCAGCAGGACGACGGCACCCGCCGCCGCTCCTAGCGAGGAGGAGAGACCTCCTCCGGGATCCGAGGCCGGGAGGGAAGACGGACGGGGAGATTGCCTCGCTTGGGCACCGCCGCGATGCGATGCGATGCGATGCTCGCCGTCGCCAGCGATGGAGATCGGGTCGACGGCGGCGGCAAGGAGAGGGATGGATGGGGTTGGGTTTCCCTTCGCCGTCGTCGAGTCACGGGGGAGGGAGAAGACCCATCGACTAACAAGGCCGGCCCATTAAGCAGGAAGCCCAGCCCATTAAGGAGAGGAAATGGCTATACATACGACCCAACTGTCGACTCACGTGGTGTTTGGATCCAGGGACTTAACTTTAGTCCCTGTATTTAGATACTAATTTAGAGTATTAAATATAACTACTTACAAAACTAATTACATAAATGAAAGTTAATTCGCGAGACAATTTTTTTAAGCCTAATTAATCCATAATTAGAGAATGTTTACTGTAACATCACACAGGCTAATCATGGATTAATTAGGCTCAATAGATTCGTCTCGCGAATTAGTCCAAGATTATGGATGGGTTTTATTAATAGTCTACGTTTAATATTTATAATTAATTTCCAAACATCCGATGTGATAGGGACTTAAAAGTTTTAGTCCCATCTAAACAGGGTCTGAATAACGGTTGTAAATGGCTACTCCCTCCGTCCCATAAAAAACCAACCTACCGGATGTGACACATCATAATACTATGAATCTGGACATATTCGTAGTACCATAATATGTCACATCCGGTATTAGATTCGTTTTTTATGAAACGGAGGGAGTATTTTGCATATTAACATGTTTTTTTTTAATCTATGGTTGCATATCTCTAGTCGTGTAAGTCGTATGTATTGCAACACTCTTAAGGAGAGGACGAATGTTGTTTAGTAGCATGGGCTATCCGTATCACGAGGCAGCGGAGCACACGCTTTGCAGGGCGTCGTGGATCGGTGGACGTTCTACCGCCCGCGAAGTTTAAAAAGAAAGATTGATTTTTTTTTCTTTCAGAAAAAAATACTTGCATGCGTTATATGGGGAAGAAAAGAGAAGGAAATTGAGAAGAGAAACAGAGAGTGTAGTCGCCTAGTCGGCAAATGGTAGTAAGTGGCGATCATAATGCATATTGCTCAGCTTAGGGCATCCACAATGTGAGCCACTCCTAGAGTGTCCTCACTAACTGAGGACACTCGTAGGGGGAACTTGTCTCGCAATGGAGGGTATCCCTGGATGGGCTTCTCAAAATCTGAAACAACCCGATAAGGGTACTACATCTCACAATGGGTGTCCTGGCTCAAGGTAGCCCAGTACAAAAATTCCACCCATACCCCTCATCAGACCACTAGCCCAGCAACCTCTTCCTTTTCTCTTTCTCGCATTTTCTCTTCTCCTCCGCCCACTGTCTCCTTCTCTTCCGATCTCTCCCCCTCTCTCTCAGTCGAATGAGGCGCGGTGGCGAACGGCAAGCGCCGCGTGAGGTGGACGATGGCGACGGGCGCGCGGCGTGGCCGACGGCGACGACGTGCGCGGTGGCCGACGACGACGAGCGCGCGGGCTGGCCGATGACATCAATTGCCAGATCCCCTTCCCTCCGCCGCGGGGTCGTCGCCGTCGCCGTCGAGGGTCGTCGCCGTCGGAGTGGCGGCGGAGTGGGGCTTGCCGGATCTGGCCTCGAGCAGCGACGGCGGCGGCTTGCCGGCGAGGTCAGCGCCCGGTCGCCCTCCTCCCGCTCCCCTCTCTCCCTCCAGCCGTCGCCGTCGCCGTCGCCGACCCCGGACTCCGCCACCCCGTGCTGCCTCACGGGTCGCCTCGCTGACAACTCCACCCTCAACTCCGACACCCCCGGCACCCCCGCCCAGCGCCGCCTCACGGGTCGCCTCGCCGACAACTGGCTCGCCCTCCTCTTCAAGGCTGCCGAGCTTCTCCTCGCCGTCGCGATGGCGTCTGGTGGAGCGGATCGACGAGCAGGCGGCGCTGTGGGAGAGAGGCGAGGGTAGGAGGGGGATTTGGGGGGAGCGGCGAGGAGACGGGAGCCTGCAGTGGGTCTCCTCCCAGGGGCGAGGGTCGTGTCTCTGCGAAAAGCAGTTGCTCCTTGCAAAGAGCCGTGTCCCCCTGCTTGGCGCCGCGTTCCTAGCTGGGGAGACGACTCACGCTGAAAAGGGGACGGGAGGGAAACGGCCGTTTGCGAGGGCACGAGTCGACGGCACCCATTGTGGATGGCCTTATTAGTAGTAGTGTCGGTCCTATCATTGTGTAGCAGTAACTCTTTGGCCACTGTAACAGGTGTAAGGCTGTATTTTTTTTTGGAGGGGTTGGAAAGCCCCTCCCCTTCGCATACAAAATGGGACAATAGATTAACGTATGGTTAATTAAGTATTAGTTTAAAAAACTTAATAAGATTAATATGATTTTTACAGCAACTTTTTTATAGAATTTTTTTTATAAAAATATACCGTTTAGTAGTTTGGGAAGCGTCCGCGTGATAAACAACAGAGTGAGGTTAAGAAGCAAACATGACCTAAGTGTGCCCTATTTTTACAATGGATTGGAAAAGGAGAATCTGGTTCCCTACGTTATCCATATCTTTTTATATTATTTTTCGTCCTTTTAATCCGTCAAGTCTATAGATGGCCATGTGGGCCGCCCGGCACGGCACGGCCCAGGCCCGGCCGTGCCTGGGCCGAGGCTTGTCGGGCCGGCACGGCCCGACCGACGCACCGGGCCGTGCCGTGCCAGCCCACGTGCCGCACTCATAGCCCAGGCACGGCCCAACACGCCTCGGGCCGTGCCGGGCCGGCCCGAAGGCACGATGGGCCATCGTGCTTTTCCTCAGAATAAGTCTAAATTTTCTCCCTCCTATTGGGCTGTGACATTGTATAGCTAAAAAAAGTCTATTTTACCTCCCTCTTCTTTGTGCTGTGGTATATTAATAGCTAAAATAAGTCTATTTAAGGTCCCTATTCTTTAGACATTGACATTTATATGTCTATTTTTAGTCCCTATACTTTGTGTACCGGGTCTGGCCTGCCAGCCCATCGTGCCGGGCCGGCCCGACCGTGCCGGGCCAGCCCAGCGTGCTGGTGGGGAGGCCCAGGCACGGCCCGACGGTCGGGCCGGGCCGGCATGGGCCCGACCCAAGTCGGGCCGTGCCGTGCTTGGGCCGGGCCAAAAAGGCGTGCCGTGGGCCGGGCCTTCGGGCCTCGGGCCTTATGGCCAACTATAGTCGAGTCTAAGCTAAAAATAAATTCACATCTTACTAATCTTCTCAACACCTTAATTAAGTTTCAACCAAAACCGTAAACCATCTCCTTTAATTTCATCGCCTCTGAAGCGGTGACACTCTAAAACGCGGCATGCTGCTTTCCAAAACATCAGGTTGTGAAGAACTTCCCGTGCCATTCTCGCTCTTTGCTGATGAACAGCGACGACCAGCGATCCATCTCTGAACCATGTGGTTGATGTGATCGTGCATCCTCTGATTTCCACCGTCGATGCACATCTCCTCGAGGCAAATGGCGTTCTCCGCGAAGAACTTGATCAGCCGGACTCCGATGCAGTCGTTGTGTTCGTCCAGATGAAACTGGATTCCAACTCTTCTCAGCGAGCTCCGCAAGCAATGGAAGATTCGGCCGCTCAATCCATGGATGTCACCACTGACATCGTCCAAGTCCTTCTTCGTCGAGCTGCCTCGCCGGCGGCGGCGAGCGAAGCGGCGCGCGGACTCGTCGAGGTCCGCCCGCCGCCGCTCCCGCAGGAGGTCGTGGGCGTAGACGCCGTTCTTGGTGGAGCCGTGCGGCACCATGCGGGTGAGGCGGATCGCGAGGTCGCGGAGGTTGGGGCAGCAGCGGAGCAGGTTGGCGATGGCCACCGTGGTGGACGTCGTCGTCGTCCGGCCGCCGCTCGCCGCCGCGTCGGCGTGGCGCGCGGTCAGGTCGAGGCGCTCGACGCCGTGGAGCGGGAGGAGGAGCGCGCGGCGCGCCGCCGCGCGCCCCGCGACGGCGATGTGCTTGAGGTGGCTCACCTTCAGCTTCAGGGACTTGGCGCCGCGGAAGTTGTGGAGGAAAAGCCAGAAGTTGGCGCGGACCGTGTCGGCGGCGTCGGCGTCCTTGTGGTGGAAGTGGTCGAGGAAGTGGAGCTCCGCGCGCGCCACCACCGTGTCATCCGGCGGCGGCGCCGCCGCCGGCGAGACGAGGGAGAACCGCCGCGCGAAGCCCGTGTACTTGAACGATCGAAGCCTCGGCGCGTCGATCTCGGTGGCGCCGTAGCAGCCGCCGCACGCGTAGCAGTCCGCGCCGCAGTTGATCATCGCGAGCGCGGTGGTGGCCGCCGGGAAGCGGAGGCGGACGCAGCCTTCTTCTGCCGTCCCCGCGAGGAAGACCGACTCGAGGTGCACGGTGGCGAGCTCCGGCGCGGCGTCGATGATCCCCTGTAGGTCACTGATCTGCAAATTGCATAGCCGCAGCCGCAGCGTCGTGAGCCGCGGGAGCGCCACGACGCCGGCGGCGGCGGCGGCGGCGGAGAGGCCGCCGCACCCGGCGAGATCAAGCACGCGGAGCGTCTCCGACGGCTGCGCGTCGAGGCACAAGCGGAACTCCCCTTCGCTGCTGCTCGTGACCTCCCCGTCGAACGACGGCCAGTACGCTTCGACGACGGCGGCGGCGACGCGGAGCTCCTCGACGCGGCGCGCCGCCGGGTGGGACACCACGCCGGCGACCACGTCGTGCTTCCTCTCCCAGTCCTCCGGGTCGCGGTGCAGGAACGCGTCGGCCGTCAGCTGCATGCAGATGCGCATGCGCTCCGTCTCCACGTGCATGGTGAGCCGCCTGACGTGGCCGGCGGCGGCGGCGAGCGCGGCGTGGGCGGAGCGGACGAACGCGTCGCGGGCGGAGAAGAATTCCCGCTCCTGGTCGCGGCGAACGTGGACGGCGAGGTTGACGGCGCCGGTGGAGCGCCACCGCGACGAGAGGAGGCTGGTGGACGCGGCCTCCTTCGCCGGGACGAAGTGCAGGACGCGCTGGAGAAGGTCGTCGGGGAGGTCGGAGATACGGTCGACGGCGGCGCCGGCGGCCATCGTCGGCGTCGGCGGCGGCGATGGCATCGACCGATCCTATCAGCAAGAACCAAGAAGGCGATCGATATTTCAGATGTTGTGATGCGACTTAGTACGGATAGGATGCGGCGAGACGGAGCGAACGGGCTGGACCGAGTGCTGAAGCCCTACGGGCCGGGTTAGCTGGGCCTCAAACTTCGGGCCTGTTTGGTACAGCTTTAACTCCTAAATATAACTCCAGGAGTTGAGTTTGGAGTAGTACATTTTGTGAGAGAGCTCCATCCAACTGCACTCCTAGTTTGGTGGAGCTGAAACTGTTTAGCTGAGATGGAGCTGTGCCAAACAGACTCTTCATAATCAAATGCTCGTGGTGCATGATTTGATTTGGGATCTTTAAAAAATATATCTCTCATTTTTAAGTGTCGCATAAAAATTATCAACAAAATCTTTTTAAAAAATAGATCTACTATATGCATAGTCAATTTTAACTTATAATGATCAAATTTAACTTTAAATAGAACACGTAATTCGTGGTTAAATTTATTATTTTCGTTTTGAATTATGTAATTATGAAAAGACATATCACATATTGGTCTATCTTGACATTTTCTTTAAAATTTTTGATGACTTTTAAATGCCGCGTACAAAATGAGAGGACGTTCCTTCAAGTGATAAAAATCCACTTCCATTTAATTTTCAATTTTAGATGTCATGGTTACTTCAAATTGTTTTTTTAAGGTGTCATGATTACATCAAATTGTTTGATTCATAAGAGCAATAACAGTAATTATTACTTCAGATTCATTAGTAGAATGTGTTCTTTAGACTAACTTCACAACTCATATCCATCGTTTTTCGCGTGTATGTTTTTTAAACTACTAAATAGTGCGTCTTTTGAAAAAAAAAAGTTTCTATCGGAATGTTGCTTTTAAAAAATATATTAACCTAGTTTTTAAGGTTTTTATAGCTAATACTTAACTAATCATACGTTAATCCAGCACTCTGTTTTACGTGTAAAGGGGAAGTGTTTCCAACATCTAAAAAGAACACAGCCTATTAATGAATTTTAGGTGTTGGGAACTACTCCATCGCGCAAAAGAACGACTTGTTAGCGCATGATTAATCAAGTAATAGTTATTTTTCAAAGAAAATAGATTAATATGATTCTTTAAAATAACTCTCATATATATATATATATTTATTTAAAAATGAATGTTTAGTACTCCCTCCGTCCTATAATATAAGGGATTTCGAGTTTTTTGCTTATATTGTTTGACCTCTCGTCTTATTGAAAAAATTTGTGCAAATATAAAAAAAAGAAAAGTTGTGCTTAAAATACTTTGGATAATAAAGTAAGTCAAAAAAATAAATAATAATTCCAAAATTTTTTGAATAAGACGAGTAGTCAAACAGTGCAAACAAAAACTCAAAATCCCTTATATTATGAGATGGAGGGTAGTTTGGAAAGCAGTACACGGAAAAAGAGAGGTTGAGTTGGAAACTTCAAAAAAGAACTCAGCCATTTAGATCAGTCAAAATACAATCTAGATATGTTTGATAAGAGCAAGGGTAATAATATAGCCAGCTGCTGGTTGTATAGATCTTTATACCTATCTCTCAGCTCACTTATATACTAGTTAGCTCTTCACTATAAACATATGGTCCACCTATCTATCTCGTAAATTTTCTTGGTGATTGTGCCTAAGCCGGCTGTAAACTTACGGCTTGCTTCTCATCTCTCTCCTCTTCTCTCTCATCCACCTCAGTATTCAGCCTTCTTAGAGCTCAATATTATTCTTGCTCTAATTTTTCGCACAATCTAATACTGGTACTGGTACTCCACTAAAAAAATGATTACTTAAGATTATTTTCATGCACGATTGCGCATGCAAGCATATCATCCGAAGTTGATAACTGCCGCCTTGTTCATCACCCAGCCCTTGATCTCTCGCACCAGCTCGTCCTGGATCCACAAGGGCCCCATGGCGAGCTCGCACCTCAGCTCACGGATCACCGCCGCGCTCCGGAGCAGGTACATGGCCAGCGCCCTCTGCACCGTGCCGCCCTGGTAGTGCACCAGGTTGATCTCCCTCACCCGCCTCCTCAGGCAGGCCGGCGCCACCATGGCGGCGCCGCTCGTCGGCGCGGCGAGGACGCTGTGCCGGTTGTATCTGAGGAGGTGCTTGTCATGGAGCTCCTCCTCCTTGTGGTAACAGTATGCGCGGTAGCCGTCGTCGTCGTCGCCGTCGTCGAGAGGCTCTGGGTGGAAGACGAGCGACAACGCCTCCAGGTTTGGCGCGAGGTCGAGGAGCCTGATCAGTGCGGCGAAGATGGTGCCGTCGTCGTCGTCGTCGTCGGGGAGGCATCCTCCTAACTCGAGGCGGCGGAGGGTCGACAGGTCCGGGAGAGTCGCGAACGCGGCGGCGTCGTGGAGGCCGGAGCCGAGGCGAGCGGACGCGAGGTGGAGGTGCTCGACGCCGGCGAAGCGGCGGAGGAACGCGCCGAGCATGGCGAGCTCCGACCTCGACGTCACCTCGTCGCCGCAGATGTCGATCTTGCAGTAGGCGACCGTGACCGTCTCCAGAGAGACGCCGTGCCCGTGCTTCGTGGTGGTGACGAGGAAGAAGTCGTCCGGCACTTCGCCACGGTACTCGAAGGCCTGGAGCTCCGACGGTGGCGACGCGTCGTCGTCGCCGAGGACGACGGTGTCCAGGCCGTGGCAGCACCGGAGAGCCAGCCTGCGTAGGCGCCGGAGCCCCGCCACGGAGAGCGCGTGGGCCTTTGCGTAGCAGGCCTCGAGCGTCAGGTCGGCGAGGCGCGGGCAGCCGGAGATGAGGCGCTGCATGCTCCTCTCGTGGTCGGACTCGGTGACGTCGGCCAGGAGCAGCGTCTCGAGGGACGGCAGCGCGATGGCCGCCGCCGGCAGAGCGAGCCGGACGGAGCCGAGCGACAGCGAACGCAGCGCCGCGCAGGCGAAGAGCCCCCTCGGCACGCTGTACTCCTGCGGCTCGAACCGCCGCCTGTACACGGCCATGGGATCCTTCTTGCCGTCGTCGGAGAGGACGTCGTCGTCGTCCTCGTCGTCGGCGTGATCCTCCTCTCCGCTGCTAGGGCTCTCGAAGAGAATGTCCTCGGGCGGCATCGTCCTCCACCGTCTCGGCCTCGCATCTTCGTCGATCGCGGCGGCGGAGCGGCGGCGGAGGGAGTAGTCGCGGTGGCAGAGCGAGGGGCGGCCGAGGCGGAGGTCGAGCTCGACGCCGTCGGGGGCGGGCTGGTTGACGGCGTAGGCGATCCACTGGTCCACCGCGGGGGAGACCCTGTGGGCGTAGCCGGCCATGGAGACGCGGAGCGCGCGGAGGGGGACGGCGGCGGCGCGGCGGTGGCGGGCGAGGAGGGCGGCGCTGACGGCGCTGGCGAACGGCGGCGGCGGCGGGTTGGGGTTCGGCGGCGGGCCCCACCCGGGGCTGTACCCGGCGAACTCGTCGTGGTCGACGACGGGGGCGTCGGGCTCCACGAGGGAGACGGTGTGGACGGCGGCGAACGTGTGGCGCCACCGCGACGAGAGCACCGCCGCGCGCGCCGCCTCCTTCGCCGGGAGGAACGACAGGATGTGGCCGATCACGCCGTCGCTCAGCGAGCTTAGCCGGTCGCCGTCGCCGCCGCAGCCGCAGCCGCAGCCGGCGGCGGAGGTGATGGCCATCTGGGGTTGGTCGCGAGATCTTCGTTACCTTAATTAATTTCTCGATACGAGTTGGGAACTTCTAGGATTTACGGTGACCTTTCTCACCAATATACGAGTGCCCTTGTTTTACGAAAATTGAAGTACACCTCTTTGTAGTTTGTACTCGAATTTCTAAAACAAATTGGACAACCTACGAAAATTATGTTTATTTCTCACGGTCTCTAGCTTAGGGTACAAATTTAACATCTACCTTCTGTATCCTTATATATTTCCTTAATTGTTACGGCCTCTACGAGTATCTTGATATTCAAATACAAAAGGTTTTTTCACATAAAACCCTAATGGTATAATTTTCATATGGACAAACATGTATATTTCTAGTGAGTGTGTAGATTTTAGGCGCCTAAAGTTTCAAAAAATTTAGTAAGTTTTTTCAACCCTCCGATGACAATCCAATGTATATGGTTCGAGGGCAGCTACTGTATAGGATTTCATTGCAAAGTGGTAGTCACGGGATAACTAAATCCCCCGACAGATTTAATATGTATCTTTTTCTGACTGAGGCCCACGCTGTCCACGCGATTCCACCCCAAGCAGAACCCGGCTTGGTATTGCGCTTCGCCAGCGGCGCCGCGCCGCCGCAACTACTTCGAGCAGGAGTGCTCCTTCCTCCGGCTGGCCAGAACCTTACTCCGCACGCGATACCTCGCCGGCGACGCCTGCAACTACTCCGAGCAGGACTTCCCCCATCCAGAGCAGGAGAGGACTTTGGTTGTGATAGCAATAGGAGACAAGGATCAAGGCTAGGGAAGGGAGAAGAGGAGAGAAGACGTGTGGTGCTTGATACTTGATACCTTGCAGCCAGCCATGCTACCTGATACCTTACAGGTGCCCGGTACCAGGTCTGATACTTATGGGTACCAGCCATGATACCACAGGTACTAAGCATGGTACCTACTGGTACCATGTCTGATACCTGGGTATCAGCCATGATACCTACAAGTACCAAAGTATGATGATACCACTAAAATGTCACCGTAATAAAGAACTAAAAATCATGTGTTTATCAAGAGAGAGTTGAATAAAAACTAATAAAGGAAATATATTCCAGGAAAAAAGCCAACATAGCTGTAGAAACACCTATAGAACATGCAGAACCCAAAATCAAATGTAGAACTAGATAACGTAGGAGCTTGGAGGTCGCGAGCCTAGATCTGGGTGTACGGATCCACACCACAAGAGGTCTCTTGTCCTTGATGACAGTGACCTCGTCGACAATGGCCACCTCCTGAAATGTGATGGGCAGCTCCGCCTCCATCATGTGCTAATTGGGCACCTACCTCACTAACAGCTTCACGATCTCCTCCTCTACTCCGCCCACACCTCCACCAGCAGCAATGGCGGTGGCGGTGATGTCAGCTTCCTCCACGCCCGATGCGCCATCCCACAAGACCTCGTCGCCTCCGTGCTCCATGAGGGTGGTAGAGAGAGAGAGAGAGAGAGAGAGAGGAGGGAAGGGGAAGAGATGAGAGGATAAGGTTGAATAGAAAGTGTGGGGAGTGAGAGATATTTACTGGTAGTACTTATCCCGTGTCTACGGAATACTGATGTTGAGTAGTTTTTCTGATACGGTTCTCATCACTAGATAATTCATACTATATTACTTATCACTCTTGAATGATTGCACAATAAACTATTCTCACTTACAAAAACCAACAAAATTACATGAAATAGACTTTTGAGTCATAAAAATATATAAAAATCTCTAGAAAAATATTCAAACTTATATAAAAAGACAATAAAATCAGATATATATATAACAACAAAATTGCAGTAACAACAATGAACTGAATTGCAAATTGCATAGCACTGCAGTTTCAGGCTTAGCAATATGTAGTTTTAGGTTCCCCTAGAACCTAACAAATCACATTCTAAACAAATTAAAATATAGAAATTACCAAGGTAACGGAAGGAGTTACCATGGCACTAGGTTTTGAATCGTGCATATGTCTCTGAGTTACTTTGAAAGGACGTGCCATGTGCTTCAAACTCAATAATACATTCATCATAAAATATAAATATATATTTACATTTTTTCTATATTTTTCGATTATTTTTCTCCCAAAATTTGAACATATGTAATTATAATGCAATCGTAATTTAATTACATTGTAACTTGTACTATGTAACTTTCATATAACTTTGAACCTTTAGATTTGTTTTAAGATTCGTGTAAAGAAGGAAAAAAAGTCAAGGCATACACACATGTGAGAGGATTTGTTCCCACAACCTCCATTTCACGGAAACTACTATGTTATAGAGGGATTTTTCAAAGTTACGTAGAAGTTATACTATAAATGTATATGTGGTCCCTATATATATACCTTTTTTTAAAAAAAAATAAGGTTGAGGTGAGAAATAAGTATGATTGGTTGAGATGAGAAACTATCTAAACAAATTAATCGAGTGATGTTTGTGACTCGTTGGGATGAGTAAGTAGATGCATAAGTTGTTTTAAAAAATCAAATAAATTTATTTTGCTAGCTTTTAGTAATTAGTACTCAATAATCATATGTTAATCATGTTTCTAGTTTTACGTGCGGCTAATCATTAGTTTCAAAACACACTTTAGTAGCTATATTTTGAGATAGAGGCAGTAAATAACAATGCTCACCAATTCTTTAACATGAACTAAAATGTAGTTAATTACACACAAGCGTAATGTTATGAAAGCTCTCTTCATAACAAATTTGGCTATATATGTCATTTTGATTATTTGGTATATCCAAAATCTATATTTTGTACTACACCAATTTAAAACGACATTCTTTTATCACTGAAGATAACAAGCTAGAAAAAAAAAACCCGCATTTTATTTGCAACACACAACTTATCAAGACCTTGATTAATTTCAGTCACTTGCAAGTTTGCAATAATCCATCTCTCCTAATTTCATCGCCGCTCAAGCGGTAACACTCTAAAGCATCGCATGCCACTCTCAACGATCCATCTCTCAACCCTACGATTGATGTGATCGCGCATCCTCTCGTTCCCTCCATCGACGCGCATCTCCTCGAGGCAAATGGCGTTCTCCGCGAAGAACTTGATCAGCGAGACGCCAAGCCAGCTGCGCTCGTCGTTCCGGAACTGGATCCCAACCCTTGTCAACGAGCTTCGCAAGCAGGCGAAGGATCGGCCGCTCAATCCATGGATGTCACCGCCGGCATCGTCCAGGCTTTGGTTCATGCAGGAGATCTTTGTCGGCGGCGGCGGCGGCGGCGGCTTCGGCCAGCCTCGCCGGCGGGCGAGGCGGTGGACCGACTCGTCGAGGTCCGCCTGCCAGCGCCTCCGCAGGACGTCGCGGCAGTAGCCGCCGTTCTTGGTGGAATCCGGCGGCACCGTGCTGAGGCGGAGCACGAGGTCGCGGAGGTTGGGGCAGCAGCGGAGCAGGTTGGCGATGGCCACCGTGGACGTCTCGCTCGCCGGGTCGTGCAGCGCGGCGACGTCGAGGCGCTCGACGCCATGGAGCGGCGGGAGGAGGATGCCTTTGCCGTTGCCGGTGACGGCGATCGCCTTGAGGTAGGTCACCTTCAGCTTGAGGGACTTGACGCCGCGGAAGTTGTGGAGGAAGCGCCAGAAGCGCGCGCGGAGCACGGCGGTGGTGTCGCGGTAGTGGTGAGGCCCGTCGTCGTGGAGGAAGTGCAGGTCCGCGCGTTCCATGTCCGCCGCCGGCGAGATGAGCGAGAACCGCCGGGGCAGCCCCGTGTACTTGAACGATCGGAGCCTCGGCGCGTCGATCTCCATGGCGCCCTCGCAGTCGCTGGCGTCGTCGTCGCCGTTGTGGTGGCTCCCGTGGCCCCTGCACTTGGCCAGCACGAGCGCGGTGGCCGCGGGGAAGCGGAGGCGGGCGCAGCAGCCGTCTTCTTTCGTCCCGGCGAGGAAGACGGACTCGAGGTGCACGGTGGCGAGCGCCGGCGCGGAGTCGACGACGCCCTGCAGGTCCTCGACCTGCACGACGCACAGCCGCAGCCGCAGCGTCGTCAGCCGCGGGAGCGCCGCGCCGGCGGGGAGGGAGACGCCGCCGCACCCGGTGAGGTCGAGCACGCGGAGCGTCTCCGTCGACGGCTGGGTGCCGCCGCTGCCGCCGAGGGAGAGGTGGAACTCCCCTTCTTCCATCTCCGTGACCTCCCTGTCGGACGACGGCCCGTCGGCGGACCTGACGGCGGCGACGCGGAGCTCCTCGACGCGGCGCGCCGCCGGGTGGGACACGACGCCGGCGACCACGTCGTGCCTCCTCCCCCAGTCCTCCGCGTCGCGGTGCAGGAACGCGTCGGCCGTCAGCTGCACGGGGAGGCGCTCCGTCTCCACGTGCATGGTGAGCCTCCTGACGTGGCCGCCGGCGGCGGCGGCGAGCGCGGCGTGGGCGGAGCGGACGAACGCGTCGCGGAGGGAGAAGAAGTCGTCGCGGCGGCGGACGAGGACGGCGAGGTTGACGGCGCCGGTGGAGCGCCAGAGCGAGCGCCAGCGGGAGGAGAGGAGGCCGGTGGACGCGGCCTCCCTCGCCGGCGCGAAGTGGAGGATGCGCTGGATGAGGTCGTCGGGGAGATCGGAGATGCGGTTCGCCCCTGCACGCACCGACTGTCCGCGATGGTGGCGAGGGGACCCGGCCGGTTCGAGCTCGTCGGCGCCTCGGCGGTGTTCGCGATGATGCCCGTGGCGTCCATGAAGCGGTCGCCGAGGCGCACGAACCACGTGTAGTTGGGGCTCTTCTTGTCCACCATCGGGCACGGCACGGCATGGACGCTGGCGGCAGAGGCGCGGCAGGCCAGGCACGTCCACATCCCCGTCCACCTCGTCGAACTCCACGGTGACGCGCTCGTGGAGCACGGGGAGGTGCAGCATGAGCGCGAGCATGGTGCTGGCCGCTGGTGGACGACATGAACACGTAGGACAGCACGCCGAGGTCGCACGCCACGTCGACTATGGGCGCGGTGAACATGTCGAGCACGAGTGCAGCGACGGCGTCCCTGACGTGTGGCGCGTGCAGCTAGCTGGATGTACCGCGCGATGAACTCCTCCACGCTGAGCTGATCTTAAGATACATGATTCCAAACTAGTAAACTAAACTCATGATCTGATCGATCAGTAAACAGGCTGCTGCTAAAGCGATATACGAGTAGCTAGAAAAGAATTAATGAAGTGAATGGAAAGATGATTGACCTGTGGCTTGAGGGAGAGAAGAGGCGTGCCGTGGGCCGTGGCCATCCTTAAGCAGTAGGTCGCCGGCGAAAGCTTTGCGGCGGTGGTAGTAGTTTTGTCGACACGGAACGCGAGCTTGCCGGCGGAGTCGTAGACGGAGAAGCCATCGGTGCCCTGGAAGCCTATGCTGGACCTCTTCCACACCGTGTACACCACCGGCTGATCTGTAGCGGCGGCCGCCTGACGACGTGCACGGCTGCTCCCGCCGCCATGTATTGATCTGTATCCTCCTCACGCTGCTAATTGATGAGGCTAACTTTGAGAGTGAGGGAGCGTTAGCTAGATTATTATTAGCTTAGGTAGGGGAAACAAAGCAAAGATTTGGTTGGGCCAATTAGTAAGCAAAATGATGAAGGTATGGACAAATAGTGCAGGGCACGTAGGAATTAGGATTAGGATTGGGATTGGCTTAATTAGCGTGAGGGAGCTGGCATGCATTCATCTTCTACTATTCTACTCTACTTATCCACTGCGTGCTTGCCCGCCGCCGCCGCTGCTCCGCGCGCGCTGCCCCTTGCCTGCTTCGCCCGCCGCCCCGCCCGCCTGCAGTCTCGCTGAAGTAGAGAAGAGATCAGGGAGACGAAAGGAAAGAGAAGAAGAAAAGAGAGAGAAGAGAAGAGAAGGGAGGACAATGACATGTAGGGCCTACTGTATGCCACATCAGCGAAACCGGGAAAAATTAGGTCAATACTGCCTCGGGACCTTTTGTGCACGGTTTATGATAGTTGAGGGGTAGAGATTTTCGGTATTGTGGATTAAGGACCTCAGACAAACTCGACGTAAAGTTGAGGGACGTCAGGTGACCTTATTCCAAACAAATTTGATTTCCAGGGGTTTTAAGACGACGTAGCTAGTTCAAGTTCTTTAATTTGGTCGTAAAAGAAAAGTACATTAATTTGCAGTTTTTTTCCAAGTCACCGTACGAGAGTTGTAAGAGGAAATGTAATTCAAAGGCAATCATTTATTGGACTAGATAGACACCCATGCTACAGGAAATACAATTCAAAGGCAATCATTTATTATTATCTAGCCCTTGATAGACACTCATGCTACATAAAAGGATACTATTGTTGGGCTACATCAAAAGGATACTATTTATTGTTGAGAGTGGTGGTGGTGGAAGTATAACATAGATCCAAGAGGAGAAGTCAGGCCGATGTGTCCCTTTGGTAGTGGCCTAGGTAGAGGAGGCAGAATTGACACAACGTACGTAGATGCTCAGGGTAGGGAGGGTCCTAGTGACGTCTACTTGGAGGAGTCGGGAAGGAGTGGAAAGGGATGCGATGACCGACAAGGTAGATACCTGCAAGAATTGCAGAATCAATGTCTAGGTGGCTAAGGAGACGGTGGAGGAAGTTGAGGACATCGGCAATGTAAATCCAAGACAGTTGGCAACCCCCACGAGGGGAAAATGGAAAGTTACTGGCGATGATTCCTCATCAGACGATTCCTCAACAAGTAAGATGAAGTGTTTGGGGACAACTCAGTAGCTAAAATTTTGTAACAAGACCTAAACACAAAGCAAACCTTTTTCCATATATATCCAAACCATCCATGAGCGGAATCCAATTTGAGAGTGAAATTTTGCAGCCAAAACCAAACCAAACCAAATCTTTCTCCATCTATATCCAAACCGCTTAAATCCATTAGGTGCTTCAACCCACTCAAAGTGTTACCACATTGAAATCTTGTCTATTAAATCCATTTGTCGATGTGTTAATGTTGTGTTGTGTGTAAGGAGATAGTGACATCTAGAGTCTAGAGGTGGTTTCAGAGGAGAAAGATAAAGTAGGTGGTGACGTGGTTTCGGAGGAGAAAGAGAAGGGTATGCTGAAGTTTACAAAGCAATACAAATCTCTATCTCTATCTCTACTATTATAAAAATTGAAGATGTTTTTGCCGGTGGCTTGGTAAGTCGTCGTGTCCAAATCCGTCTCGCACATTATCACTGTCAATTTAACTATTTATGTGTCCCACATGTATGAGCTTTAAACGTTGGATTTTCCCTAAGAAAATTTGCTTGTTCGGATCAGTGACTTCAGCCGATTGTATTTCGTGCTGTGCATTGTCACGAACCAACTGCCACCGCGAAGTTGTCATCTTGCCGATACGATCTGTTCAGCAACACGGTTTGGGACCTGTTGTCACGCACCTATATCAACACCAACCAGCAGCAGTCAGTTGTGTTGCCGTGTGCCGAGGCCGGCCAGCAGCACGACATACCATTGTCGATTTTTCTCTACACGCATACACTGTATCGAGAAGAATTCCTACCGTGTTCATCAGAAACTCAATCCAATACGGTCTGCCGGGTATACGTGTTCCAGAAAGATTAAAAAAAAGATCAGGATATCAAAGCCGAGATCTATTACTACCCACATATCGAAAATCCACACGTGCAACAAGACGATCAGCAACAGTAGCCGATCGATCACGGTTGCCAAGAGAAATACAAAAACCTAATCAGAGAAATATTCAATCAAGCTACTGCACACATATCTCTCTATCTCTATCTCTTTCTCTACTATTATAAAAAATAAAGATGTTTTTGCTGGTATTTTAGTACGGCATCTGCGTATGAGTCGGTTTTAAGTCCATTCGCTTTTGAAAATACAAATCTGTATTTGAGCCAGTTTCTAAGTTCGTTCGCTTTTAGAAATACAGAAGAAATTGTATAAGAAATCTCTTTAAAAACTCACATACTAACTTGAGACGATCGGACACCTAATTGCAGCTTACGATTTTCTAACAAAATATATATCCAAGCGAATTTAACACAGTGAATTTCATCTTAACTCGACATAATAATAATAAGATTAAAATAGTTTTCACCTGTTTAACATTACTTGCCCCGTTTAAAATTTCATCTTAAAGCACGGACATTTTTTCTAGATAAAATCAGAAAAGGTCACACCATTTAACATTACTTGCCCCTTTTTTCTATTCGATACTTTTTACCTTTTGCAGTAATTAGACTTCATAATCGGCGTTAACATATTGTATTATTATTATTATAGCATTATGGACGTGTTGCCCGCAGCAAATCAAATGAAGAAGTTTATCATATAACACTTGTTTGACCCAAAAACAGTAGAGGAGACCACTATGGCTGTACGGCATATTAATTTTCGGGAAATTTATTAACGTACAGAATCAAAAGGTTATAATAAGTCAAATCCATAATCAAAGAAATAGTGATTTGCATCTCTAAGCCTCATAAAACAAATCCAGTATTGAGACCAAACTTTATAGGGCCTGTCTATAGATCATTTGACAGAAAACCCCCTCACAGATCTTAGAAATTTTAGACCATTCGATTGCTTTAAGATTCGTGTAGACAACCAAACCCTAAAAATCCTCTCTCCTCTCCCGATTCCTCACGCCGCCGCTCCTTAGCGCTTCCCCCGCCTCCGCCGCCACCGCTGCCCCAGCGCGCCGCCGCCCGGCCTCGCCGGCTGGCCGAAAGGTGTCAACGGCGCCGATGAGGCCCCCCTCCCCCTCCTCTCCTTTGCCTCAAGCCGACGGCGGCAAGCTGTCCGTCGTCTTCCCTGTCGCCGGCGGCAGGGCGCCACCACCGGCCGCCTTCAACTACCACTCTTTCCGCTTTGCCCCCGCCGTCTACACCGGCCCGCTGCCGTCCTCCAGCCCCGTTACACTGGCCCGCTGCCGTCCTCCAGCCCTGCGGCTTCGGCGGCGCCGCCGCCGCCTTGCCGCCCGATCCGCCGCCCACCGCCGGGCTGCCGCCTCCCACGGCCATCCCTCTAAAGTCGGCAAACTCCCCCATCTTCCCCCTCCCCCTCCCCACCCCACCCCACCCCACCCCACCCCGGACCCTAAATAAGAATAGTCAACTAAATAAGAATTGTGGCAGCAAATAGACAAACCCATATATTTTCTAAACAATGGATTAAAATTTCGGCCTACATCGACAAGGACGAAAACAGCCAAAGACAAACCCTCTTTCGAACAAAAGAAAGAAATCAAACTGGACAAGATCAAATTAATCGATGCATGGTTGCGCAAAGCGGCATCATATCAACCGATGTTGACAATGGCCGCCTTGTTCATCACCCAGCCCTCGAGCTCCCGTGCCAGCTCGTCCTGGATCCACAAGGGCCCCATGGCGAGCTCGCACCCGAGCTCACCGATCGCCGCCGCGCTCCGGAGCAGGTACATGGCCAGCGTCCTCTGCGCCGCGCCGCCCTGGTAGTGCACCAGGTTGATCTCCCTCACCCGCCTCCTCAGGCAGGCCGGCGCCATGGCGCCGCCGCCGCTCGTCGGCGCGGCTAGGACGCTGTGCCGGTTGTAGCTGAGGAGGTGCTTGTCGTAGAGCTCCTCCTCTTTGTAGTACGTGATATGCAGCATGGCGTCGTCGCCGCCGTCGAGAGGCTCCGGGTGGAAGACGAGCGACAGCGTCTCCAGGTTCGGGGCGCGCTCGAGGATCATGGTCAGCGCGGCGTAGATGGCGTCGTCGTCGTCGTTGGGGAGGTATCCTCTTAGCTCGAGGTGGGAGAGGGCTGAAAGGTCGGGAGCGTCGCGAACGCGGCGGCGTCGTCGAGGCCGGAGCCGAGGCGGGCGGACTCGAGGTGGAGGTGCTTCGCGCCGGCGAACAGGCGGAGGAACGCGCTGAGCTTGGCGAGCTCCGACGACGACGTGACCTCCTCGCCGCAGATGTCTATCTTGCAGTAGGCGACGGTCGTCAGCGAAGCGCCGCCGTGGATGGTGAGGAAGGTGTCGTCCGGCACGGAGCCCCTGTACTCGAACGCTTGGAGGCGCGGCGGCCCCGGCGAGGCGTCGACGGCGACGGTGCGCAGGGCGTGGCAGCAGCGGAGGGCCAGCCTGCGGAGGCCGGCGACGGTGGTGAGCGCGGTCACCGTGGCGCAGGCCTCGAGCGTCAGGTCGGCGAGGCGCGGGCAGCCGGAGATGAGGCGCTGCACGTCGCTCCCGGCGTCGGAGACGCGGGCGAGGAGCAGCGTCTCGAGGGACGGCAGGGCGATGGCCGCCGGCGGCGCGAGCAGGCAGTGGCCGAGCGACAGCGAGCGCAGCGCCGCGCAGGAGAAGAGCCCGCTCGGGACGGCGTGCACCGCCGGGGTGTAGTCGTATCCCCTCGTGGACTTCTCGTCGGAGGAGATGACGTCTTCGTCGTCGTCGTCGTCGTCATCCTCATCACAGCCCTGCGGACTACAGCTCCGACGCGGCGGCGGCGGCGACAGCAACGGCGAGCGCGGGATATACATATACGGTGGACTCAGACCCAGATTGGCATCTTCGATGGACGCATATCGCACGGGGGACCTCGACCTCGACCGCCACCGCCGCCGCCGTTTGCGGCTCGCATCTTCGTCGTCGTCGTCATCGTCGGTGTCCTGGTCTGCGTGATCCGCGCTCGCGCCGCGGCGGCGGCGGAGAGAGTAGGCCTTGTCGCAGAGCGGCTCGCGGTGGAGGCGGAGGTCGAGGTCGAGGCCAACGGCGGGGTCGGCCTGGTTGACGGCGTACGCGATCCACTGATCCACCAGGGAGGCGTCACTTCTGCAGTACCCGACGGTGGAGACGTGGAGGGCGCGCAGGGGCGGGACGGCGGCGCGGCGGTGGCGGGCGAGGAGGGCGGCGCTGACGACGTTGGTGAAGGGCGGCGGCTGGTTGGGGTCGGGCGGCGGGCCCCACCCGGGGCTGTACCTGGCGAGCTCGTAGTGGTCGACGACGGGGGGGTCGGGCTCCACGAGGGAGACGGTGTGGACGGCGGCGAACGTGTGGCGCCACCGCGACGAGAGCACCGCCGCGCGCGCCGCCTCCTTCGCCGGGAGGAACGACAGGATGTGGCCGATCACGCCGTCGCTCAGCGCGCTCAGCCGGTCGCCGCCGCCGCCGGAGGTGGGCATCGTCTGGGGTTGGTCCAGATCCATCTTGACGCGGACGGTTTCGTTTGATGGCGAGATATTTCAGGATTTTTCGGGGGATGAACCGAGACGGTTTGTTGTTAGGTCAAAGAAAAAAAAGAAAAAGAGGGACATATACTCGGATTCGGAGTGTGCTCCACGATTTAAAAAAGAAAGACCAACACCAGGTGAAATCGCAGTAACAGAATCCGAGACACGAACACGATGAACGCCACCGTTGCATCACCGTCGGAGCCAGCCGCCACCGTCACCGTCGCATCGCTGGACGAGCTCCGCGAGGTGGCCGAGCATGATCCCCGCGCGTCGGAGGAGGACGGGGGCCTGCGCGTGGCGGTCACCGGCGTCCCCGTCAGCCAGGCGGAGGAGCTGCACGCGCTCGTCCGCGACCATGTCGAGGCGAAGCTCTGGAGCGTCGTCGGCGAGGTCGACGCCATGGCGGCGCTCAGGTCCGCTGCCGACGGCGCCGCCCGCCTCGTGGAGCTGAGCCGCGCGCTGGACGCCGTCGTGAGGGACACGGAGGACGGCGTCCCGGTGCCGGCCACGGGGCCCCGCATCACGCTGCTGACGGAGCTGGCCCGCGACGTGTCCACCCAACGGCCGCCGCCGTTCCTCCCGCGCAAGTACGTCGTTGCTGTCGTCGAGGCGGTGGACATAGGGAGGCAGGCGGAGGCGCTGAGCTACTATCGGTACTCCGGCGACAGATGGACGTCGCCGGAGTCGCTGGAGTACTCGATGGCCTACTTCCGGCGGACGGCGGAGAAGACGAGGGCACGGATCGCTGCCCTGTTGGGGATGACTATCCCGTTCGAGGATCCTCCCATTGTTATCCACATCCTCGAGGTCTCAAGTTGGGAAGCCAGATATTACTCCAATTCATCGTAACGTAATGTGTAACCCAATTTTTGTTTAATTGGATCCATGTTATTGCAAATATGCTGATTCAGATAAATGTTACTACAATTCATCTATTTGTACACTTGTCATCCGAATATCTACAAATCATATTATCATCGTTATATTTTTCGTCATCATATAGACCAAAATACCTATAAACGTAGGACCCACGTGTCAGTTCTATTTTTTTTTCCAATTACGGCTGCTGGTAAGGAAGACGTTCAATTGAGATCTGCATGTGCACGTTGGCGATAGAGGAGAATGAGTGAGGGAGGCTGATGACGTGGCTTCGCGCGATAGTGGATTGACGCCGATGGGAGGAGGTCAATGGCAACAATTGCTCCCTCAGCAGCGTGACGCGGGGCACCGTGGCCGGCGCCGGGGCTCCGTCCTCCGTGTCCGGCCGCGACGGCGTCCAGCGCGCGGCTCAGCCCCACGAGGCGGGCGGCGCCGTCGGCCGCGGACCTGAGCGCCGCCATGGCGGCGTCGGCCTCGTCGCCGACGCCGACGCTCCAGAGCTTCGCCTCGACGTGGTCGCGGACGAGCGCGTGCAGCTCCTCCGCCTGGCTGACGGGGACGCCGGTGACCGCCACGCGCAGCCCCCCGTCCTCCGACGCGCGGGGATCATCCTCGGCCACCTCGCGGAGCTCGTCTAGCGATGCGACGGTGACGGCGGCGGCGGGCTCCGACGGTGATGCAACGGTGGCGTTCATCGTGTTCGTGTCTCGGATTCTGTTGGTGCGATTTCACCGGGTGTTGGTCTTTCTTTTAAATCGTGGAGCACGCATACACCGAATCTATGTCGGTCACGAACTAAGCAATCTTTCCTAAATCCGCCGCCGAGAGAGTAGGCCCACGTCGGCCGCCAACCGGACGCCGCGACCTCGATCGTTCCCGGCGCCGGCGTGCCTCGGCCTGGAGGCTGGCCTGGCCGTCGCGGTGAGGTCGATCGAACTGGACGCCCGCGCCTCGGCGAGCTGATCCGTCACGGAAGGGGCGAACTCGTCGCGCGGCGGCCCCGTGCGTGTGTCCCACCGCCTCGACGCCGTGGTGGAACGGCGCCCGGCCCAGCGACACCAGCTGTGGCACGTGCACACTTACCCCGGCGGAAGGCTACTTTGATCGGTAGCCTTCCGCCGGCCTAAGTGTGTACATGCCCCATCTAACAAAAGTTGGGTTGTACATGCATGTCTGGAAAGCCCAAATCCTGGTTAGATAGTCTGGCAAAAACAACTGGGCCTATACTCGTTATCCCGTTACAGAATAGCTAGTGTTAAGCCTGACCTACCAAACAATGGCCCAACTCACAAGAGCAATTCTTAGGTAGACGACGTTGCTTCTAGTAGAGTGTAAAATGGCCGAGTTCTTTTTCTCAAATCGAGTTTGTCATAAGTAAAATTGTAACCATACTCATAATATATTATCTCCGTTCCACATTGTTGTAAGTAGTTTACAAGTTTTAGTTGTGTCCTAACTCAAATTTCTTTATTTTTTATTAAGGTTTTGTTCTTTTCTAATTCCTCATTTTGAATTTTTATTTTTACGTTTTTCAAACTCCTAAACAATGTATTCTTGCAAAAAGTAGTGTGTATATGCCCTATCAACACCAAATACCTAGTTGTTTATCTTCGGTGAACACTAATTAACAAAGGCGAGAAAATGAAAGAAGCAGGTAGTAGGTGTTAGATGGGCAAAGATTGGATTTTGATTCTCATCAACCACAAGGCCAACGTCTTCCATGGAATTTTCACAATTTAATCTAATTAACCTGTCAGGAATAACCTCTCTAATAAATTAACTTCACTGAACATCCCATGCTACTCATTTAAGCAGTAAAAAAAAGGAAATACATATTTGAGCGAACTAATTAACCACTAGTGCATAACCAAATCAGTGAGAACTCCCAAATGCGACAAGAGGATTTGGTCAGGTCAGCAATTTGCCGCATAAACAAAACACACGGTTTCAGAGTGCGTATGCAAGCGGTTGTCAGAGTCAGAGTCGTCGTTGGCCATGACCAAACTAAACTGGTTTTCAGACTTTCAGTTTAGTTTTGTGTCTAAGTACTGTGGCACACGCCCTTTTCGGTAGGTGCATGCGTGAGCATTTTCTTCACAAGAACCGAAATAAATCCGATTATATTAGGTTTAGTTTGTGTGATAACTACTTAGGCTGCTGCATCTGATAGCCAACCAAAGATTCTTGCAGGGCTTACAGCCATCTGCCTTTTGGTTTCTATGACAATGAGACTTCACCTGAACAATACAAGGAAATGATTATTCAGATCAGGTTTCATGATTTCATCAGTAGCTTCATCTGGTATCCTATGCATGCAAAACTTTTCTTTTTGGACCAAACATTCAGTTGCAAGATTTGGTTGAATTCTCATTCTCTGAAGAACTTCCAAATTGAGCAGAAGCAGCTCTGCAGGGCATTTTCAGGTGATCTCATGAACATGATTTGCCTTCCACTTGTCACAAGACTAAATATCAGTGGAACTTCACCAAACTCTGCATCAGCTGTCAGAACTTACAGGTGAAAACCCGTTGTGCCAGGACGCAAAGATATGCAGCGAAAAGAGGAGAAAATCAAAGCTGCCAAGATTGAAATCTTTGCCCTTCTACAGCCGCAACATCTCTGAATTTCTGACCTGCAACACGGAGAAAGCTCTCTTCTTCTGCTCCGCTGCTGTCACGAACCAGCTGGAACCAACACTCGTAGTGATAGTGCGTGTGTTTTTAGAAGATTGTTCAAGTCAGGCATGTGTGTGAATAACTAATGCTCTCCTAGGCCTAGGTACAGATCGCCGCATCTTACCAAGATTGAATTTTACCACGTGATTGATGAAAACTTACAAAATTCAAACAAACAATTTCATCGAGTGTTCATTATTGCATTAATTTTATACGTTTAGAAGCACTTTGGATGGTTACAATAATAGCACATGGACCAACTGCATATTTGGTCTTCCATTTTCTGAACTTCAATTACCATTCTTTTCAAGAGTTCAAACATCATTTCTTTTCTTTTTCTTATATACTATCTCTATCAAAAGCAAAACCCTAGGGAAAAAAAGGTAATTTTAACATTCATGAGAAGGTATTAGGAGGTATCATATTTTTTAGTATAAAACTTAGTACCTTCAGGTATTAGGTACCTTGAGAACTTTGTTGAGAAATCACACTTGTAGTAGCTAGCTTGTTAAACAACAGTTCTTGGTCAAACTCTCCTCCAGTTGAAATTTGAAGTGGATTTGTCCATGCATAAGTGCACATGTACTACTACCAAATCAGTTTGATCAACTCAAAATTGGTTTGGTAAATTGATTGGGGCATTGCAAATCAATCATTCACCTACTATTCTATCTCTTCAGTATATGCTCCATACCAAACATAACCCCTAGTTGGAAAATTTTACTACCAGCTAACTGCACCCTACTTAACCCTGAATATCATAGGTCAAAAAGAACAAAAACAAAATATACAAGTCATTATCTTGAGAGGGAAACCAGAGTGATGGTCAACATTGCTATCATACTAGGCCTAGCAGCTCAGATCCTAAGGTCAAGAAATCTTATAATTAATATTGACATGCCCCAAATTCAGACTAAAAGAAGAAACCCAATTGATCTGATACTGACTCAATGACTCAGGCAGTTTACAAGAAAGGAATCCAATCAAAGCAGTAGGAGGGTGTGAGAAATTTCTCTCCTTTTTCCTCACCAACCACCAATATGGCTGCATGGAATGGATGATGGATGTATGCATGCATGCAAAGATGAAACCAAATCAAAATTGAGTCAAAACTCTTCAGATTTGGACAGAGATCTGCCATTTCAGGGGTGGTAGTGCCACATGCCTCTATGTAGCTACTTGGACCCAAGAATTGAAGGCTTCTTCACAAATATGGACAACTTTTAACACTGCCTGGTTTTTCACCTAACATTCTTCCAACTTTTCTCTCTCTCTCTCTCTCTCTCTCTCTCTCTCTCTTCTTGGTGTCATGTGGAAACAAGATGACCTGTGAATCAGTGAATGGTAAAATAATTGGGAACTAATTATGCAGAATTTATATTTTTATCCTCCACAACGACAATGAGCTATGGCACTGTAAATAGT